TTGCAGCTGTGGGCATATGAGGCTATCCCTGCTTTGGGTAGCAAATGGGCGATCAGAAGGGAGACTAGCTGCCCACGAATGCTTCATTGGCGAGCACATGAAAAGCCATCGGCTAAAGATTTGATAGTTATCCTCGACGATCCTCAGGTGAGTATTATATATTTGCAATTTATATTGTACATACATTTACTCGGGTCGATACACGTTCGTTAACACGTTGAAATATGGTATGTCAGCTCGAAGTTCATGCTGAGTTGGTTGTCTCGGTGGAAGAGGAGGATGCAATATATGTACGTGAATTACTTGTTCCCCCTACTGAAGACGATCCAGTATTTGAGTCCGTTCCGGATAGAAATATAGTATGTTTATTTAAATTCATTATTTATTTTGACTTATAAATTCATGTGCGGATTATTAATATTAATTGTCTTCTCTGTGTAGGAGCGCCATCCGGAACTTCCACGTAGGAGATCTCCTTCGCCTCCACCGATGAGATCTCCGTCACCTCCACCGATGAGATCGCCTCTACCGCCATTATCTCATTCTCCAAGGATATCTCCGTCTCCCGTACCCACCCACCTCCCACATGGATCGCCTACACCCAGTCAGACTCATCATTCAGATGATTTCTTTGCACGCATGACTGGCATTATTAGAGAGGAGCTGGGAATGATGCGCCGTGATTTTATGACAGAGGTAGTCGCATTACGAGGGGAGATAGGGGTATTGCGACGGGATTTTATGACAGAGATCGTCGCAGTACGAGAGGAGATAGGGGTGATGCGATGAGATTTTACGACAGATATAGTAGCTTTGCGAGATGAGATTGGAGTGCTGCGACGAGATATAGGAGACCTTCATACTGAGGTTGCAGCACTTCGAGGCGATGTAGCAGGCGTCCGAGGGAATGTCGGGGAGACTGGTGTCCCTCGAGATTGGTGGGCAACGGCCGGGGGAATCGATGAGTTTTTTGGTTCGGTGCCGGAGGCCGAGAGGGAGGGGGTGGAGGTCGGGCAGGAGGAGCCGGAGGAGGCCGGGATGCCCGCGGTGGAGGTCGGGCCGGAGGTGCCGGAGGAGGCAGAGATAGAGGGGGTCGAGGGAGGGACAGGGGTGGTTGAGGAGGTAGCGGAGGGGACATCAGAGGTGGTAGTAGAGGGGGATGATCAGGTTGCGGAGGATGAGAGGACGCCGGAGATGACGGATGACGAGGTAGTATTCGTGTCCGAGGGGGCGACGGAGGTCCCGAAGGGTAAGAAGCGTGCTGCTGACGCGCCAGAGCTGATGGTCGGTAAGAGATCAAGATTGCCGTCACAGTACGTCGTTTCTCCCTACACGGTCGAGGAGAAGAGAAGGGGATTTGTGGATAGGGTGTACCCCAATCTTTTTCGCGACGTCGACCCAGTCAGACAGAAGGCGTTCGATGATTGGTTCAAATCCCTTAAGTCCGAGTAAGTATTTTATGATGTTGCTACTATTTTTTTGTACCTTTGGTAACTGTTTTTTCATTTTTCAGAGATAGTTATACCATCGGCTGTATGACCGTGCCCAATGCTAAAAAGTGGTTTGAAGATGTACTAACGACCTCAGCTTGACTCGCTGATGATGTAAGTTTTTTGAGTTTCCGTTTATTATATTTATACAAGTTGTTGGTTCATTTACTTAAATGACTCTATCTTTTTGTTGGTGTTTTTTTGTTTCAGCATATCGACTTGGCTATGGAATTGTTACACGATCGGGCGTAGAGATACCCGAGATCTTATGACAGACCTACTCGAGTTATCTTGAGCGCTGAGTTCGATCGTGTCGTAGATATTGAGCATCAGGAGCTCCTAAGCAAGGGGAATGATTATGTTCTGTCTGAGTACATGGTGGAGTGGGTGATTGGACTACAGTTAAGGTGCGGAAAGCCGTGGACGGATTGTACACATATGTACATTCCAGTGATCGCGAGCTCACACTGTTTTTCGGTGGAGATCGTATTTGCTGATTCCACCATATATGTGTACGACTCTGATCATAGCTGTCTGACGCAAAGTCAATTGGAGCAAATACTGGAGCCATTGGCTGTGATCGTGCCCATGATGGCTAGTCATGCGATGATTCGAGTAAATGATAGATTAGCCATTGTGCGGAACACGACGACTGCGAGACAAGAAAGATCGTAAGGATTTACAACTTTTAAATTTTCAGATTTAATTTTCAATTATATGTTATGGAACTAATATCTTCTAATTCGGTTGCAGGGGTGACTGTGGCATATTTGCAATCAAGTACATAGAGTTCAAAAACAATATTTTTTTTACTTAAACAATTAAGATAATTACTTAAAGAAATAGTAAAAAGAAAAATCGAATAAATATTATTCAAATAAACAATCGAAATAGAGTAATTAAATATAAAATAAATAACATACATAATTAACGAAATATGTAACGAATAAATGAAATTGAATAATATTTTTTTACTTAACCAATTAAAATAATTACTTAAAGAAATAGTAAAAGGAAAAATCGAATAAATATTATTCAAATATGAAATAAATAATATACATAATTAACGAAATATTTAACGAATAAATTAAAAAATAATATTTTTTTTACTTAAACAATTAAGATAATTACGTAAAGAAATAGTAAAAGGAAAAATCGAATAAATATTATTCAAATATGAAATAAATAATATACATAATTAACGAAATATTTAACGAATAAATTTAAAAAAATATTTTTTTACTTAAACAATTAAGATAATTACTTAACGAAATAGTAAAAAGAGAAATCGAATAAATATTATTCAAATATGAAATAAATAAAACACATAATTAACGAAATATTTAACGAATAAATTAAAAAACAATATTTTTTTTACTTAAACAATTAAGATAATTACTTAACGAAATAGTAAAAAGAAAAATCGAATAAATATTATTCAAATATGAAATAAATAATATACATAATTAACGAAATATTTAACGAATAAATTAAAAAACAATATTTTTTTTACTTAAACAATTAAGATAATTACGTAAAGAAATAGTAAAAGGAAAAATCGAATAAATATTATTCAAATATAAAATAAATAATATACATAATTAACGAAATATTTAACGAATAAATTAAAAAATAATATTTTTTTTACTTAAACAATTTCAGTAGGATTCGTGTTGTACTGAAAGAAATAAATAATCGAAATAGAGTATATTGTATGATTTAATTTTGAAATAGTAAAAGGAAAAATCGAATAAATATTATTCAAATATGAAATAAATAATATACATAATTAACGAAATATTTAACGAATAAATTAAAAAACAATATTTTTTTTTATTTAAACAATTAAGATAATTACTTAAAGAAATAGTAAAAAGAAAAATCGAATAAATATTATTCAAATATGAAATAAATAATATACATAATTAACGAAATATTTAACGAATGAATTAAAAAAATATTTTTTTTACTTAAACAATTAAGATAATTACTTAAAGAAATAGTAAAAAGAAAAATCGAATAAATATTATTCAAATATGAAATAAATAAAACACATGATTAACGAAATATTTTTTTTACTTCACCAATTAAGATAATTAATTAAAGAAATAGTAATATCTCCATATTGTTAGTTAATATATCTCACTTATTTTAAAAGAAAACAAACAAATACATGACACATAGAAAATACATATGACAAATGTGATAAAAATAAAAAGGGTAATTGAACAATGTGATAAAGATTACATCCGATTTCAATTCAGAAAATCACAAACACATGACAAATAGAGAATACATATGATTTATATAGATACTACACATCCGTCGAGTCATTATTTAGTGGGATCTGGCTTGTACAAAATCGACGTGTATGTCCTGTAGCGCCGCACCTCCCGCACTTACGCGGTTGTGGAAACTCTCCTGTAGATGGTATTCTAGACGTCCGTCTACGACCAGGAGTACGCGGTGGAGCTTCAGGTGGCAACAAATTATTAAGTGCTACAATATAATCAGGAACTTCCCACTCGGCTTCATTTGGTAGAGGAAATATAGTTTCGGCATACGCTGCTCTCCAAAAATCAGTCATATAATAATGACTGCACAAGCTGTGTGGTGGAAATCCTCTATACATAGCCACTGCGACAGCATGTGCACATGGAAAACTTTCCAACTGAAATTTTCTGCACGTGCAGGTATTGTCATTCAAGTCTACAATGTATCCAACATTGCGCCCGCATCTCACGGAGAAGCGAAATTGATCTAGTGGTTCCACAAATAGAGCTTTTGCCACTTCCAGAGTTTTGAATAGTCGATCTTCCTGTGCCGGAGCTAGCATACTCGTGCAATTTTGGGATTCTTCACGTCGGTCATAAAACTACTGTTGCAACTTGCTGCGAATATGTTCAATCATTGCAAGAATCGGTAACTCTCGATCCTTCTTGAATAATGCATTCAGTGACTCTGCATTATTCGACGTCATCATGTTGTATCGACGTCTAGGAAAATGTGACCGTGCCCAATGTTCGACCCCCATTTCTGATAGATATTCCCATGCACTTTCTGATTTATGTTCTATTTCGCCCATGAACTTTGTAAACTCTTCAAAGCTGTAAGCTTCTGCAGCTCTCCTAAACAATGCAACGATGCCACTGCCCCGGTACCTAGTCTTCAGATTGCCCTGAATGTGGTACATGCAATAACCATGACGTGCTTCTGGAAAAACTTCGGCTATACCATTTATTATTGACTGCCCCCGGTCAGTCACAAATGCAAGGTTCTCGATGTTCCCAATTACTTCTCTCAACTTCGTGAAGAACCAACGCATTGCTAGATCATTCTCTCCATCGACAATGCTAAATGCAAGAGGGTAAATTTGGATATTGACATCTTGACAAGTAGCAATAATCAACTTTCCTTCATATCTAGCTCTTAGGGTTGTACCATCAACTAGAATTAGAGGTC